TTTTCTTTTGCTATTGTGTATTTTCAGTATTCTCAACCATTTTATAAAGTACAAGTAAGGGAAAAATCAAAGGATAGACGTAGGGCTGCACATCCTTATTTAAGATTTAAGTATAGAAATACCACACAAGCAGTGGCTCCTTCGAAGAGTTTCAGCGCTTTTTCACACATTTTTTTTTTCTATAGGTAACATCCAGGGCTGAAGGACTTACTCAGCAATAAATACCTATTAGGGGATGAACTGTATCCCTTTCAAAATTTGTATGTTGAAGTCCTAATGTCCAGTATCTCAGAATGCAACATATGTAGACAGGCTCTTTAAAGAAACAATTAAATTTAAATAAGGTCATTAGGGCAGGCCCTAATGCAACAGACTGGTATTCTTATAAAATGAGATTAGCAGACATACACATTGGGAAAGATCACCCAAACACTGGGAGAAGATCACTATCTACAAAAGACCTCAGATGCCTTCATCTTGGACTTCTAGCCTCCAGAAATGTGAGAAAATACACTTCTGTTGTTTAAGCCACTCAGTCTGTGGTATTTTATTACAGTAACCCTAGCAACTTAATATAGCAACTAAAAAAGTATGCAATAGATATTTATTTAAGGAATGAATGTTGTATTTTTTTCGGCACTTAATTCTGCTCAAAGCTGAGGCTGGTGGCTGACTTTCCACCAGTAAGGCTGAGGAAACATTTTTAATAAAATAAAACATGTTGAGAGCCACAATCAAGTCAAGTTGGCGCCTGGCATTTTGCTAGAAGGAGTGGTTGAGAAGTAATGCCAGGGAGCCATTAAGATGATGATAATTAAGTTAAGCTGTGTATAATTATTAAGATAATGACTGATTGCTGTAACTGGATGATGCTAAATTGAAACAAGCTGTGTATTCAGTTGTGTATATAAACCTCTGCTGTCTGGCAATAAGGCGGCTCCTGCTACCTCGGGTGCCCACTACTTTTGAGTTCCCGTTAAGTTCTCGCAGATATTGTGTCCATCTACAGCTAAAAAAATATTTTAAAAAATATAGTATCAGTATTATAATTGAAGGACTCTGTTCCGATCGCCAGCTGTCACCCTCTTGCTCCCACTTTAGACACAACCACTAATTTGAATTTGGTTATAATTTGCATGCAGCATTTCTTTGTACATTTTTCTACAGGCCTGTAGTCCTAATCAATATGCTACTGTTTTTTGCTTGCTTCCCAATGTTATGTAAATAATACCATATTCTACAAAGACTGTGTATGCTGCCTTTATCCCCCTACCATTTTTTTGAGATTCGACCACAAGGATGCCCTTAACTCTGGTTCATTTAAAAACACTGAATATAGTATTTTATTATGAAACTACTATTTATTATAAATAGGATTTATTTATTCATTCTTCTATTGATGGACACTTATTTTCAATTTAGGTTACTTTTAACTTTTTTACTATTATCAGAAATACCTGTAAGGACATTTTTGTACATGTCTTATAAACATGTAAGAAATCCTATAATCCCAGCAATTTGGGAGGCTGAGACAGGAGAGGGTTTGCAAGTTCAAGGCCAGCCTGGGTAACCCAGTGAGACCCGGTCTGAAAACTTATAAAATAAACAAATACAAAAGGCTAGGGATGTAGCTTATGTGGGTGTGGGGGGAGTCCCTGAGTTCAATCCCAGGTACTGAATTCTCAAGAGCAGTGAAATTTCTTTTATGACTATACACACTGGGAAAACATAGGTAAAGGACTAGGGCTGTTCAGACAGTGGAGACCTGCTCAGGGACTCTAGCTGTCTCAAGTCCTGCTTGGCCACTTTTGACATAACAATAAGGAAGGAAAGCTCTGTTCTAGATGTGTACCAAGAGCAGAATTTTTGAGCCCATGAATGCACTGTCAGCTTTTTAAGATATTTCCACTTGCTCTTCAAGACATCACACCAATGTTTACACTCCTCCTGGCAATACATTGTTTTCTACATTTTCTCCAAACTTCTGTCCAAGAAAATTTTTCCTACTCTGAGCAAGTGTTCTTTTCTACCTATGTTGGCTAGGATCCTCTCTTGAACAATAAAGTACATTCTATATTATATATTAGAATTACTTACAAAACTACCATGGTCCACAGTCTACATCTTGAAAACTGCTAACCCATACAATGGTATAGAATTGGTTAAAAAGTGAACAAGAAAACATGAATTACATTCACAATAATTCCAAATCCATAGAATCAAAATTTCACTCAGACTAGATCATTTCAGCCTTGGTAATGCAAAGGTCTTATTTAAAGGAATTTTAGTTACCTGGCTCTTTCAAAATATTGATGGTGTTTCTGTGGATAGGAATGGTTCTTGCTGTGGGCTTGTTCCCACACAGAAATCCAGCTTCTTTGGTAATCTCAAAATCTCAAAAATAAATAAATAAGCAAGCAAGCCTGATGCAGTGGTGCACTCCTGTAATCCCAGAAGCTTGGGAGGCTGAGTCAGGATTTCAAGTTCAAAGCCAGTCTCAGCAAAAGCAAAGTGCTAAGCAAATCAGCAAGACCCTGTCTCTAAATAAAATACAAAACAGGGCTGGGGATTTGGCTCAGTGGTTGAGTGCCCCTGAATTCAACTCCCAGTACCAGGAAAAAAAAACAACTCACAAACGAATTTATTTGTAATCAAAACTATGAATTCAGGATCATTACTTTAAAAAAAGCCTGCACGGATTCCACAGATGGTTGGCAGTCATGCTATACAAACTCAGCTAAGCAATACAACCACTCACTAGGACTATTATCAATTAGCTTACCCAGAAAGCTGGAGTTATTGATTGTGCAGAAAGAACTCTTTATGCAAATATTTTTTACTTAATGATTGGAAGGTATTAATACTTTCACTGAGCCAACTGGGATGAAAATTTTACAAATTATTTGATTCTAAACCTTTGAAATCACTTGAAGCACATTTTTTCCCAAGTTTTGCCTTCATAAAAATTGCATGCTTTACAAATTATGATGGAGTGGGCCAAATATTTCCATGCATATTTCTATTATTGCATAGTAACACAAAATAAGATTATTATGGAAACTACATTTAGAAGTTATACTTACAAATTCTGAAATCAATTCTATTTTTAAACTTCCTTGTTAACAGGTATATTAAAGAAAGAAATGAGTTAAGAAAGCATACTAATCTTTTTATTTCCAATAACTAAAGCTAATACATGTCTGTGTGTATGTATATGTAAAAAGAGTGAGCATTTACCATGTGCAAGCTCTGTACACTTTTGGCACATCATTTCATTTAATTCTCACAATTTCTTGTGGTAGATTATGTTATCACCATTTATCAGAGGCAAGCAAGGTTTTCCCAATATTTTTTCAATTGCTATCAAATAGGAAAGCTAGGTAACTGCAGTCTCACTGAATTTTATCTTTACTTCTCTCCTCGTCGGGACTTGAAGGAGAAGTGTTTATACAATTCAGAATAACCCAGAGTTTGTCATATCTTTATTGTAATTATACTGAACCTTATTTACATATTGTTTTATATTGAGTTTTAATGGGGGGAAAACATGATTTTGATTAAAACATGATTTTGATTAAAACCTCTAAATATACATTTTGGAAGAAGCTGAGGTGCATATAATTATCATTAACTAATTTACATATATACAAGTTTAAATGCACAAATGTAAAGATCCCATTTTTAAACTTCTTGTTGTCTATACTTAAAGCATTGATTTCTTAGACCCAGTGAAATTAAACGTCTCAATTAAGTGCATTTGAAGCTTTTGTAGCATAATCATTCATATTTGAAAGACATTACTTATTTTCCAAGTTTAAGATCTTTATTTTAAAATATATTTCTTGATTACAGTTTATTTACAGTCTAAACAAGTAAAACACTTCAATTGACTGAATTTTCTATCTGTTGCCTATAACAAATCACTCTGAGTTTATCCTGGATGAGTCACAAAGCAAGAGTTCGGACTTTATCACTGGTTTCAGCGCTAGTTTTGGAGAGATGGGGAGACAAAAAATGTTCTTGATCTGGAGACAATGAAAATGGCTTGTGTGGCTTTCTTCAGGAAGAAAGTAACGCTGTCAAATTTCAGGACCATGGAGGTACCCTTTAAATATACAATTATTTTGTTCAAAATGTTTTTTCCATATCTTATCACTCAATGCATAAAATAACACAGCCACTGACATCAATGGAATTTTATGGGAAATGGAAAACTCCCTTGTCAAAATAGGCATTTTCCTTCTCCCTCAAAAAAGTTATAACTGCCCAAGTATAAATAACCAAAAGGATGTAGATTCTTTCCATGTTTTCTTGGCAAACGATTAAGGTCTAAAAAAACACAAATTTCATGGACATGCCTTTTTCTCCTCTAGGTTCTTTCTCAAAAAAGTGCAGAAAATAGGGGGGAAAACCCCTTATAATACAGTCCAAATTATAGGTAAGAAACACAAAATTCAAGTGACAAGGGAGGTGAATTTTACTAGTGGTATTTGTAGGTGAATTTTTTTTTTCATGAGCATTGTTTCATCGCTTTCCGTTATGTAGGAACATTTTTAGTTGACAAGGACAGAATTTTAGGGGCTGGGATTGTGGCTGAGTGGTGGGGCACCTGCCTAGCCCATGCGAGGCACTGGGTCCCATCCTCAGCACCACATTAAAAAACATACCAATAAAGACATCGTGTCCATCTACAACTAAACAAATTTTTTTAAAAAGAAAAGAATTTTACATAACATTTGCTTTTATTTGTATCCATTTAACATAGTTATTAAAGACTTGCTTCAAAACACATCTCAAAAGTAATAAAACATTCAACTTCCAGTAGAAAAACCCGAAAAGAATGCATTCTTCTCAATTTCGGAGATGACAAAAGTTCCAAGTTTCCAGTGACTCCTGGTGTCCTCTCGAGGATCTGGAAGTTGGATATGCTGTATAATATCAGCCCGACTAAGGCCCTGTCTTAATCGACTACTTCTTAACGATAAACTGAAATAACTTACTTGTTAATGCTGGATACACTGATTAAACCCATCCCCAAACGCTGGCCGCCGTCTTAGTGGGAATACTCAGGAGCATCTAGTCCATCCACAACGCGGGGGCCGGCCGCGGGCCGGGGAGGCCTGCCGGCCCCGCTCCCCCCACGCCCAGTCGCGCGTCTCGGCGGCCGCGAAGTCAGGGCGCCGGCAGCACCGGGCCCCTCCGCTCGCCCCTCCCCGCCGCGCCCGAGAAGGCGCGCAGGCACGCGGCCACCACGGCCACGCTCGGTCCTTCTCGCCTCCGAGCCGGCCTCAGAGTGAGGCGCCATCCTCTACCCACGCAGGAGAGGTTCGGGCCGAGGCCCGGGTAAGGCACCCACTGCCCGGAGGGGTCTGAGAGCTCAGGCTGCCGACCCCTCCGGGCGGAAGGAGGCTCGCGCGTCAGGTCCGTGCGCCGCACCTCCCGCGCTCTCACCGCGTTTTCCCACCCGGCGGAGGGGCTTCCCCGCCAGGACTCTACAGCGGAACTACAACTCCCCACGCGGTGGCCGCCCGGACTCCCGGAAGCCGAGGCCTGGCTGAGCGGAAGCCGTTGCGACCCCGCCAACAGGCCGGGTGTTAATTCAGCTAGAAAAAGGGGGCGGGAAGGGCTGCGGGGCACCTGTCAGCTCGCCACCATGAACGTGGTTTTCGCTGTTAAGCAGTATGTCTCCAAAATGATAGAGGACAGCGGGCCCGGGATGAAAGTGCTTCTCATGGACAGAGAGACGGTGAGTTTGCTTTTGCTCAGTATTTGTGTGTGAAGGAACCCTCCCTCCCTGAGAAGGTCCCCTTTCACCATAGGGTTTAGTATTTAATGCAGATCCCAAGGTTCGGTTCTGCGCGGGACTGAAAAGTTGCATAAAGCTTGCGCAGTGGGTTTCCAGTTAAAGGCTTTCACTGCTGCCCACAGACTTTTGTACCTGGAACGGCGTCTCCGCCAAGAAGTCATTCCTGGGAGAGCGGTGGGAACCTTCGGGGTGCCTGGGATTTCCCTCAACCTGGCACTTTTAAAATAAAGCTGTCGGAGGCTCAAGCTGATGCCTCGGGTTATTTGTTGGCCACAGATTTTTAAAAAAAGGAAAAAAAAAATAAAACTCTAAGGCTACGGAGAAATTATTTTTGGAAATTTATGGATTGTTTGTGTTCAGAGAGATCGTGTTTTTCATTCTGCTACATTACTATACTTTTTGGATGTTCCGTAGATGTTATTCGGTATGTTAATGTGTAAATTACCCTAAGTACTAGTGGGAAAAAAGATATAATATTGATGCTTGTTTTTATTATTCTGAGCTAGCATAATCTTAGTTCATTCTTCTTCTTTACAGACTGGCATAGTGAGTATGGTATACACACAATCGGAGATTCTTCAGAAGGAAGTGTACCTTTTTGAACGCATTGATTCTCAAAATCGAGAGATCATGAAACACCTGAAGGCAATTTGTTTTCTTCGGCCTACGAAGGTACTACGTAAATCGACCTGCTGTCTGCTTAGGCAAATGCAGAACTCTCTGATCTGAAAGCAAAGAAGGCAAAATAAATTTGTATTATCATCATTTGTGGCATCATAATTATCATGGTTTGTCAAGAATTATAACCTTCATTGTTCTCCTTTCCATGGCTCAGTTTACCCCTTACAGCCACTTCTTATTTCAAGATATCGTTTAGCTTCACGGTTACTCCCAAAGTCATAAGCAACTCTAAGACCCACATCACTTTATTCCTGGACCGACCTCCATACTTACTACTGAACATCATTTCCACTTAGTCTTATATATAGCTATTACTTTCTTGAGCTTTTACCATTTCATTCACGTCTATGTTCAGGAAACAATAATGGCTCAGTGTGATCTCCATGATTAGTAGCTTAGCAAAGTCCTCCTTCAGCTGGTTTGCTCTGCCCTTACTTATCCTACCTTTCTATGTACTGATTTTCTTCCTCCGCTCTAACCAACCAGGCTTTTTTATCATCCCTCGACATGGTCATTCCTGTCCCTTCTTTGTTTGTTTTTCCCTAATCAAAGGATCTTTAGCCATTTGTCAGTTTTTGTTCATCAGCTTCTAAATCTAGCTTGAGTATCTCCTTTAAAAATTCTTTCCTATTTCAATCTCAGTTTGTACATTCTCTTGCCTCATTCATATTCTTAAATTCTAATGCACTTTTATCACATTTGTATTTTCCAAAATGCAAATCTGATCATGTCATCCCTATTTTAAATCTTTGAATGACTTATTATTGCTTTTATGATAAAACAAAACTCCTTTCTTGTTTTCTACAAGGCCCAATATAGGTCTAAATCCTACACTGTCTCCAGTCTCATTTCAAATCATTTCCCTTTTTACACCCTGCACCTTAGCCACACTAATCTTTTAGTTCACACTATTATCCTTGTTTCATCAGGCCAGAGGACCTTTGCATGGTCTCTTCTCTTTGCCTGGAACTTCTTCATCCCTAAACAAACCTTTCCTGGCCTTCCTGACCTTTTATAAGCACTTCCAGCACCCATCTTCCTCTCTCATCACTTGTCATGATAGAAGTTGTGAGGTATAAATGATTACTTAATATCTGTCTCACCTACTAGCAGTAAGCTCCATGACAGCAGAGATGTTATCTGTTTTTCTGACTTTTATGTCCCCCATAGCGGACACTTGATAAATAGCTGCTGAATTAATGAATACATATTGTGTTATGGTGGTTTCCAATTGTTTCACATTTGTACTCATGAAACTTTGGCTTGAGAGGGATCTTAGAGATCATTTAGTTCATTATTTCCTACATTTTTAATGAGAAAATATCATTCACAGTTATATATTTTCTCTCAAACGCTCAGGCTTTGTTATTTTTTATCTAGCATATTATGAGGAAGTAATATTAGGTTTAAAATATTTTTATTAAGAACAGTTTGTTCTTAAGATTATATCATAAAATTAATTTTTAATTTATTTTAAGTCTAAATGATAGTTAAGCTTTTTTCCATTTAATAAGCAATGTGCATTTCTTTTTTTGTTTTACAGTACTGGAGATTGAACTCACAGCTCTTTACCACTGAGCTACATTCTCCAATCTACAGTCTTTTTTTTTTTAATTTTTATTTTTTTTCGTTGTAGATGGACACAATACCTTTATCTTATTTATTTATTTGTACGTGGTGCTGAGAAGCCAACCCAGAGCCTCACACGTGCCAGGCAAACGCTCTGCCACTGAGCCACAACCTCAGCCCCTACAGTCTTTTTTTTTTTTTGGAGACAAGATCTCACTGAATTTCTGAGGTTGGCCTCAAATCCTGCTTCACCCTCCTGAGCAGATGCGATTACAGATGTACACCACTGTTCCCAGCTATAATGTGCATTTCTTAAACTAATCTTAATACTGTATTCATGCGATATTTTTTAAAAATTCAGGAATTGTATATCATGTTTACTTTGGAGGCCCAATTTATAGTGAAATTTAACTATGGGTACTACAAAAAAAAAAGCATGCAATTTGATATTATGTAATTGGAATTCTCATATTTCAACCACATAAAAATAACTCATTTTTTGCTTGTAACACTCATTTTATTTTAAAATAATACAATTATAGAAAAGGTCTTTGCCTGATGTTGCAAATATTTACAAATATTGCTGTTGTTCAGACTCTTAGGTCCAATAAGTTAAAAGCCGAAGTGAATATAATTAACTATATTTTCTCTTGAATGTTGTTGAAGGACCAGACGCATTTTGATGTTTGGGGTGGAAATTTTCATCAGATGAATATAATTTATAGACAAGCAACTTGAGGCAAATTTGAAGAAATATTATTAATCTTATGTTGTATTTCAATATGTGGCCTTTATATATTTAACTTAATTTGGCCAGGATAATTCAGCTAATTAATATTGAACATTAATTAATATTACCTGTATCCTATAAAATCATGTGTATGATTCTGATCATTATGTTTAATGTAGCTCTTTTTTTGTCCCCAGTCCTCACTGCCCAACATACACACAGTCTCAACCTCAGCATACAGTAGGCCCTCAGAAAATCAATGAATGAATGGATAATACTTGTTATTTTTTTATTTAAGCAACTCCCCTCATAATTTGTTTGCTCTTTATTTTCTAGGAGAATGTGGATTATCTAATTCAGGAGCTTCGAAGACCTAAATACAGTATATATTTTATTTGTAAGTATGTTAATTCACTTTTTCAATCATATACTTATATCCCCCCTAGTATGTTCCACTGAACACTTCATATCAAGTTCATTGAATTCATCACCATAAAAATCTAGTTTAGTTAGTGTTCAATCAAAGTATTATAAGTATTGTGACCAGCATTCTCTTTCAGAGAACTAAATATGGTTTTCATTCATTGATTGCCTTGATTTTAAAAATTTAAGTGTTTTTTGTGACTTTATCTTATTTATTTATTTTTAATGTGGTGAGAATCGAACCCAGTGCCTCACACATGCTAGGCAAGCACTCTACCACCGAGCCCCAACCACAGCCCCTAAAAATTTTAAGTCTTATTTGCCTTTCAAGATGCTTAATAAGTCAAAAGTTGTAAGTAGCCAAATTTTATATCCCACCTCCATCAAAACAAAGTCTATATTTATTCCTATTTTTCACTTATGAATTGAGGTATATAAACTGATTTATTTATTTGGGAGAGGATATACTTGAATTTGTTGGAAAACCAGAGGTTTCTTTATGTACCAGATGAAAACATCCCAATTCTCTTTGCCACTTTATCTAATTCATGAAAGTATAAACCACCAGGAAGTTATCTCTTATGTGTATACCTTTTTTAGGTAGAGGGTGCATAGGGAAACTATGGAAGTAAACTAGGTTTATGTTTGCTATACAATTTATATGGATTTTTCTGATCTAATACATTCTGCTATGGAAATTACATCTGTTCTCCTCTAGATGTCATTATTGATCTTTGTAGGATAGCTATAACTTATTTGGTAATGTTCCCAAAACCAAGAACAAAACATAACACTCACTTAACTTACTTAATAGTAAGGAGGGCATTTGAGAGGTTTTAAAAATAACTTAAAGGCTTTAGAATTTTAGGGTTTAGACTATAAGGCATACATATTTTCTTTAATTATATCCAGGGGGCCAGGGTTGTGGCTCAGTGGTAGAGCACTTGCCTAGCATGCCTGAAGCACTGGGTTCGATCTCTGTCACCACATAAAAATAAAAACAAATAAAATAAAGGTATGTGTCCATCTACAACTAAAAAATAAAATATTGAAAAAAATGATACCCAGAATTAACACTTGTAGTAAGACTAAATATTTTATAGAGTTGTATCATTTTATTTCATTTGGCTCTTTGCAACATTCCAAAAGGTAAAAATAGATTATTTTATTTGTCTCTCATCCTAGGTTTTGTTTAGGGCTAACAGTCACAGGTTTTCCTTCTTTCTTTCTTCCTTTCTTCCTCTCTCTTTCTTTCTTTCTAATTTTCCTTCTTTCTTCTTTATTTGCAGTACTGATGATTGAACCTAGGGCCTCACCAGTGCTAAGCAAGTTGTCTGCCATTGAGCTATATCCCCAACAGACCATTTTACTTTTGAGATGGTCTTGCTAAGTTGCCCAGGCTAGCCTTCAACTTGAAATGCTCCTGCCTCAGCTTTCCCAGTTTCTGGGATTACAGCCATGGGCCACTGCCCCTGCAGCTTTCCTTTTTTAATTAAACTTTTTATTTTGAAATAATTGTAGAGTTACATGTGCTATGATTTGAATATGATTTATCCCCTCTAAAATTCATGTTGAAATTTAATCGCTGTAGTAGGATATTAAAAGGTAGGAAAATTTAAGAAGCAATTGATATAAACTTTAAGAGGTTATTGATCCATTTATGTGATTGAGGTGTTAATGTGTTATTTGAATGGATCTGCTTTAAAAGCTTAGATTGGCTAGGTCTCTCTGTCTTACCATGTGATGCCTTGCACTGCCTCAGGACTATACCAGCAGGAAGGCCATCCACAGATGCTGCCCTAATCTTTGGACCAGAACCATGAGCCAAAATAAACTTCTTTTCCTTATAACTTACCCAGTTTGAGGTATTGTGTTATTAGCAGCTGAAAACTGACAAAGATAACATGCAGTTGTTAAAAATAATACAGAAATCTCATATATCTTTTACCCATTTCCCCCTAATATAGCATCTTACATGACAATATTGTGTACAAAAACACAACCAGCATATTAACATTGATACATTCAGGTTACAGAACATTTCTGTCTCCACAAGGTTCTCTCTCATATTGGGCTTTTATGAGCCATGTCCACTTCTTTCCTACCTTAATCCATCATTAACCCTGGGAACTACTGCTCTGTTCTCCATTCTGTAATTTTGTCATTTCAAAAGTATGGAATAAATGGAATCATACAATATGTAACCTTTGGGGATTGGCTTTTTTCACTTAGCATAGTTCTCTGAAGATTCATCCAGGTTGTTGTGTATATCAGCAGTTTGTTTCTTTTTATTGCTGAGTAGTATTCCATTGTAAATTTTATTTAACTATTCTCTGTTTCTAGTTTTGACTACTACAAATAAAACTACTTTAAATATCTTTATATAGGTTTTTATGTGAACATAGTCTTTATTTATTCAGATAAATAAAGCTTAGGAATGCAATTGCTGGGTCATGTGGTAGTTATTTGTGTTTAGTGTTTTAAGAAACTGCCAAATATTTTCCAGAATAACTATATCATTTTACATGTCCACTAGCAATATACTGGTGATCTGGTTTCTTTGCATCTTCTCAGGCATTTGGAATTATCTCTGTATTTTATTTCAGCATTTTTTAGTCTTATCACAAGCTAGGTCCTCTGTTAATATATATAAATAAAATATCCACACATATTCATGTATGTATGGGTGTGTAATATACATGTATATATTTGGCAGCATAGAGAATATCTATACATATTCATATTCTCTATGCTGCCAAATTTAATTGGATATATAATATAAATACTGTTTTACTAAGACTCTACTAAAAATTGAAGGGGGTCATGTGACAAAAGACCATTTTATCCTGTAAAGAGAGTTCTTTCATGCAACAATTGAGATTAAGGATAGTAATGATAATTAAGAGTATTTACTGGGCTGGGATTGTGGCTCGGCGTTAGAGCACTCACCTAGCATGGGCGGGACCCAGGTTCGATCCTCAGCATCACATAAAAGTAAAGGCATTGTGTTGTGTCCATCTACACCTAAAAAATAAAAAAAATTTAAAAATTTAAAAAGAGTATTTACTCTTCTGCTTCTAAAGATTGTTTAATTCAAGACATAACTATGAAGTGGAAGAAAAAAATTATATTAGTTAATACTAAATCTATGAAAAATAGATTTGTTAAAGTAAACTAAAATATATTTTTATACTAATTTTGGGGGGCAAGGGACCAGGCAATGAACTCACAGGCACTCGGCCACTGTGCCATATCCCCAGTCCTTTTTTTATTTTATTTAGCGACAGGGTCTCACTTACTGCTTTTTGCTGAGGGTGGCTTTGAACTCCTGATCCTCCTGCCTCAGCCTCCTGAGCTGCTGCGAATACAGACTTGTGCCACATAGGCAGCTATTGGAATTTTATGCATTATAAATTTTTAGCACAATTTATATTGACACTAAACTGTCCTTTTGTTTATCTTTTTTCTTATCATTTTTTGGCATGTTTTAGGCCTACTAAATTGGTTATATAACCAGCTCTTCCTCTTATTAAAAAACTTTTTATTATGAAAATTTTCAAATGTATAACAATATAACAAATCTCAATGTACCCATCACCCAGGTTCAACAATTATTGAGCCATGCCCAATCTTGTTTTAGCCATGTTGATACCTTCTCCTCCATCAATATTATTTTGAAGCAAATCTAAGACATCATACATTTCATCCATAAGTATTTCAATATGCCTCTCTAAAAGATAGATTAATTTTTATAAATACTAGTATTTTAGACAAATAAAAAATGAAAAATAATTCCTTAATATTTTCAAATACTCATTCAGTGTTCAAATTTCAAATTCTCTAATGTCTTTTTTTTTCATTGTTTGTTTGAATCAGGATCAAAATAAAGTTCACATATTGCTATTGGTCAATATGTTGAATTTCTTTAATCTTCTATAGGTCCCTCTCTTCCATTCAATTTATTTATTGAAGAAACTAATTTTTCCTCAGCCTGAATCTTGCTGATTGTATCCCTGTGGGGGTAGTTGTACATGTTCCTTGCAATTCAAAATATTCTTCTTTCCTTGTACCTATAAATTTGTAGGTGGATATGGAGCCTTATTTAGATGTCTCAGTTTCCTTTTGGAAAAAATAATTAAGTGATGTGGTATAGTTTCATTGGATGTTTCTTCTTGTGATGCTAGCAGCTGTAGATAAACAATGCTTAGATCCATCTACTGATTCATTAGGGGCTGGAAAAATTGATGAAATTCTAATTATTAACATTCTTTCTTTGTTTTTTAGATGGAATACTTCCATAAAGAAAATCTTTCCTAGTTTCTTTTTTGGTTCAATGTCTATATATAATAGAGGATAAGAGCTTATTTCTTTCCCTTTAGTTGTTATTTTCAGTGTAATAACTTGGTTCCCTGATATCCACCAGTCATAGCCCCCCTTTTTTAGTACTGTTATTAATTTATGCATTTAAACACCTTTATGCTTCTCATTCCAATTTGAAGCAGTGTGGTTTGGCATATACCACAATATGTATCAAACATTGCTTGTTCATTAGGCTTTAACTCTCAGGCCCATTTATGTCTTATTACAGCAGAGATGATCTTGCACTCTCATGTGTCTGTTTCAGATTTCAGTAATGTGATCAGCAAGAGTGATGTGAAGTCATTAGCTGAAGCTGATGAACAGGAAGTTGTGGCTGAGGTTCAGGTAAATATGTTGGTCCTGTAACACTGTCTTATTTGGCCCTTTTAAAAGATCCTACTCTAAAAATAAGGTGAGTTGGAGTTGTAGCCTAGAGGTTGAGCGCTTGCCTAGCAAGTGGTTGAGCACTTGTGAGGCACTGGGTTCAATCCTCAGCACCACACCAATAAATAAAGATAGTGTGTCCATCTACAACTAAAAAACTTTTTAAAAATAAATAAATAAAAATAAGGAAGGTGCTGTCTCAATTTGGGACGCTATTGACTAGATGGAATAACTATGCCAGACTCTACTTATATTCAGAAAGTTTGGAAGAGGTATCAAATTGGATAAGAACAATTAAAGGAATAAGTAAAAAGGAGAGAGGGCTAATGAATTGATAGGAAGAGTTTCACTGGGTTGAGGACAGTCAAGTATGTCCTATGTTAGTTTTATGAACCACACTATAAAAATGTTCATCAACAGGACTATACTTAATGGGAAGAGAATAACAAGAATGGTTGTGAATGACATTTCTTAAAGTTCTATTTGTGGTTATTATTCTTTGGGAGGTAATGGATGACTTTTGTCATTAGGTTAAAACTTGGAAACTCCTAAACATTCATTCTGCGTGCTATATAATACAGCACTAAAAAACCAGGACATATTATATTACCTTTCCTTCTTGAATACTTTAGTATTCTTAAATACATTTATCACAAAAGTGTGAATATATTTATCATCTAAGTGAAAAATATTGTCTTCAGGGGCAGCAAATAAATTAGTTTTGAAATTTTTAGAAGAACTGCTAGGTGAATTGCTCTTTTTTTATATTTTTGGTACTGGGAATTTAACCCAAAGGTACTTTACCATGGAGCTACATCCCCAGTCCTTTTTATTTTTCATTTTAAGGCAGGGTCTCACCAAGTTGCTGAGAGTCTCACTAAATTGCTAAAGCTGTACTCAAACTTGCAATCCTCCTGACTCAGCCTCCCAAGTCACTGAGATTATAGGCAAGCAACACTATGCCTGGCTGATAAATGAATTTTTCAAATGACCAATTTTTTTTTTTTTTTTTTTTTTTTGGATACTGGGGATTGAACTCAGGGACACTTGACCATTGAGCCATCCCCAGCCCTATTTTGTATTTTATTTAGAGACAGGGTCTCACTGAGTTGCTAAGTGCCTCACTTTTGCTGAAGCTAGTTTTGAACTTGTAATCCTTCTGCCTCAGCCTCCCAAGCTGCTGGGATTATAGGTGTGTGCCACTGTGCCCAGCTAAATGACCTATTTTAAATCATATTCTTCCTCATGAGAATGTATTAGCCGGGTGGAGTGGCCCTCGGCTGTAATCGTAGCAGCTTGGTAGGCTGAGTCAGGAAGATCAAAGGTTCAAAGCCAGCCTCAGCAACTTGGCGAGGCCCTAAACAATTTAGTAAGACCCTGTCTTACAAAAAAAAGGGCTGGGAATGTGACTCAGTTTTTAAGGGCCCCTGGATTCAATCCCTAGTACCAAAAAAAAAAGGGGGGGGGGATACATTAGACAGCAAAGCTCTTTTTAATCTGAGTGTAACTTTGTATATCCTATAGCAGTATTTTATTTTTACTAATTGATATGTGTATAGAGGTTTCCTGAAATATAATGTGTATACTGCTATGACTTTTGTTTTTTTAAATTCATCATTATTGCTGGTGGTTTATAATTATTTTAATTCTACCACACTGACTATTGTTACTCAATTTTTATTTGAACATTTCATATTTCTTTATACCTGGGTCTTACCATTTGTTTATATCATAGTATTTTATCACATATAATACTTGTGCTTTATAGAATTCATGGAATGACTCATCTTGATGCTTTATTTACAGGAATTTTATGGTGATTACATTGCTGTGAATCCACATTTGTTTTCCCTCAATATTTTGGGTTGCTGTCAGGTATGAAATGAAAGGATTTAAAAAATAATTTATTGGGTGGAGTTAATTCAGCAATAAATTGGACTTGTAAGAGAAATAAAATATTTTCTCTGAATGTATGTTTTTAACACAAAGGGTCGAAATTGGGATCCAGCTCAACTATCCAGAACAACTCAAGGACTGACAGCTCTTCTTTTATCTCTGAAGAAGTGTCCCATGATTCGTTATCAGCTTTCATCAGAGGCAGCAAAGAGACTGGCAGAATGTGTAAAGGTATGGCATTCCCTGTCCCTAGCTCCAAATCATCAAGGCCATTTATTTCCCTTTTGTATTTTAGAAACCATCAGGAATATTTTCTCTACAGCCAAGGGGAGGTTGATATGTTAGGTTTACTGGCAAAGAAGAATGTCTATATATAATTCAAAACAAAAAAAGCAACAAATTAGAGCTAAGTTTGGATTTAACCTAACAAACATTCACAAGCTTTTTGGATAAATGACTGGTAGAGTTTCAAGTCTTAAGCTCTTACATAGTATGCTGCAAAATTTGTAAAGTTTAAAAAAAAAAACAAAAAAAACCCCTTGTAACGTTTTAAAATCCTTTTATGGAAGGCCCATGAGGGTATGAAGAACGGCTAAAAGTGGTTTTATTTATCAATTTTCTATTTTTACCATCTCTATCTACAGCTAATTAGTTGTTCAAACCTTCTCTCTCTCTTACCTACAGCAAGTAATAACTAAAGAATATGAGCTGTTTGAGTTCCGGCGGACAGAGGTTCCTCCATTGCTACTTATTTTAGATCGCTGCGATGACGCCATCACTCCATTGCTCAACCAGGTGTAGAACCCTTTGTTAGCATGATATAAGGATGATTTTAAGTGATGTTCATCCAACTGCAGACATAGTCCCTTCACTTGTCTCCTTTTCCCCTCTGTTCTTGTTTCTTGGCCTAGTATTTCTTGGTGTTTTGGTATCACTATTTTTCCAACCACAGTCACGGTCACTCCCTCTTCCGCCTCATCCTTCCTATCCCTTTCTGCCACTAATCAAGGATTCTTGTTTGTTTGTTTGTTTCTTTGTTGTTGCTTTTATTAGAGCATTATAATTATATGTAGTATTTAGTTTAATTTTGACAAAACCACGCATGTAAGGAATTTGATTTTAATCCCCATTCCCCCTCCCTCTTCTTTCCCTCCTACCTCCTCTTATTTTCTCTCTTCTCCTCTATTGATCTTTTCTTTCTTTCTTTATTTTTGCCTAATCATGGGTTCTCATTTCCAGTGTTTAATTCTATGTGCTCTTTTCCATTATGATTGTATTGCCTTAGTGTAGACCCTAATCTCTTATAGAAACACTGCAATAGTCACCTGTTTGGTTCCTTTCTTTTAATTTCTTTTCACTCTAATATATTCCACAAACACGATGTTATTGAATTATTTTTCCTAAGCCCAATTCCAATCCTATTATTTTTGGCCTAAAACTCTTTATTGGTTCCTATCTGCCTGCTGGGTTAAAACACAGCACACACACACCCCTGACTTTGGCATACCAGCTTCTTAACAGTGTGTACTGAACCTCATATAAAACTGATAGCTCACTGCTACATAGACGCCACATGTTTTCTTGACATCTTGCTTTTGCTGTGGCCACTGTCTAAACTCTGAAATGTTTGGAATACCTTCTCTTCCCATCTTTATTTTTCAAAATTTTCTCCCTTAAAACCACTCAAAAGTCACATAACATCTTTTTGAAGACTGTTATTACTTTTTTATTCAGACAGGTTCTTTTATCCCTAAAATCACTGTGGAACTGTGTCTCCACTGTATCTGGACCTGCACTGAGTTCTGTCTTTGGTTGTTTTTACCCTTCCCTGGATTACATGATCTGTTCAGGCAAACTGTGTCTCACCAGTGTTTATTTTCTTTCAAGTAAAAGCACAGTTCCTTGCACTTAGTAGGTGCTCCATGAATAATGACTTTGGATTTATAAGGAAAAGCAGAATCTGTTTCAGTTTCTGCCCAGCTTATAATGTTGATGCTAAGAGAAATCTGTAGCTGTGGAAACTTCTTTATTGTATAAGATAATCCTGTATTTCTAAAATTGAAAGTAACATATGTTTACTAAAGAAACCTTTGATAATATAAAAAGTTAGAAAGAAAAATAATTGCCTATAATTCTGTCTCACAAAATAAAGCAACCATTTGTTCAACAATTTTCACTAAGAATCTATTATGTGCCACACACTAAACTAAGTACTAGAGATAAAAGGTCAGGAGATGCAGTCTCTGCCTTCAAAAAACTCAATGGCCCAATGAGGAAAGCAGAAAACACATGGCTTTATTACAGCGTAAAGTGGTGTGGTAGAGCCAAGTACGAAACATGACATTATACTTATTTTAAATGCCCTAATGGAACTTGCTTTATTAAAGGTTCCTTTGGCAAATGTTTTAGGAAATAAAGCACCTTTTTTGTTAATTTATAAGTTATTTATTAATAAATCTAGTTTGTTTGAACTAAAATATATTTATATAAAAATTTTAGCATTTGAATTCTAGATTTAAAAGATAACATGCTGGAAATATTTAGTTTTATGTAATGGACTTATGACAGAAGTAATCCATTCTCCATTAGCGGTGAGAAGGCAAAATTTGGAAGTGTTTTCTTTTCAGTTTTACCAGATGAATTTACATTTGAGTACCAGTCTTCTTTGTAATTTGTACTAGGTAAAAATATAAAACAAAGTGGATTGAGAGGCAAGTTTTCTGAATATGCCAGTGTTTTGACCAACTCACAAGGTTTCTTCTGATAATATTAGTGTTCCCAGGATAAATATAGCATCTCTCAGATCTGCAAGAACACACTTCTCGTGCTGCAGAAAACCACAGAAGCATACAGGAAATGGCACAGCTTGTCACTGCAGTACCGATATAGCCCTGTCTGTGAAGCCAAAAATATACTCAATTCACAGGCGAAAATTAGAGCTAATGATAAATATAATTTGTTTTCTTTCTATCAAGAATATTAATCTTGTTGTCTTTCTTCCAAAAGTGTGAAATCTAAAAGTATTTTGACTTTTGGGTGTTTAACCAATTAAAATGATAATCTTAATGCTTATTATAGCATAAACTATTAATAAAATTTGAACAAAATAGAGAATCTTCATGTAAGCAGACTAGTTAATTAAGAATGTTATCAATTTTACTTATTTTCCTGAATATGTGCTATATCCATGTTTTGTTAATAACCAATTTTTTTGTCTTAATTCTTTATTTAGTGGACATATCAGGCCATGGTTCATGAACTACTAGGCATAAACAACAATCGGATTGATCTTTCCAGAGTGCCGGGGATTAGTAAAGACTTAAGAGAGGTGGTTCTGTCTGCTGAAAATGATGAATTCTATGCTAATGTAGGTGGTGTTAAATTTTTAAAATTTTGTTTGTTTTTATGTAACAAGGTCAATATTGACTTGTTAGAATGGGGACAGGTATGGAATTTCATGTAAAAAAAAATGATAGAAGCATACCACAGATAGGTTGCATCTCAAGGGAATGCAAAAGACTTGGATTCTGATCCTCTAAAATAATTTTTTTCCATAGATATCACATAGTTATTTACTTCCCTCCCTTCCAGTGGCTCTTTGTGAGAATAATAATGGTATTCATCACTGGTGTCCTGGCTAATGTCCAAATTTGGTAATTAAAATGGAATTTTCCCTTCAATTCTGTATTCAGGATTCTTTTTCACTTCTTTTAAATTATCTGAAAGACTAGTTCATGAACTGTCTTCCAACTTCCTTTTTCACAGAATATGTACCTGAACTTTGCAGAGATTGGCAGCAATATAAAAAATCTCATGGAAGACTTCCAGAAGAAGAAACCAAAAGAACAGCAAAAACTAGAATCAATAGCAGACATGAAGGTAAATTGAATACACATGTGGTTGACTTACATGTGACACTTTGGAATTATTCATGTAAACAAGATTCTTGGAATTTCTGGGCCTGATTTCTATCTTGGTTCATCTGGTTTTGTTGAGACATTTTCTGTAACGTGTCTCTTTAGTAAAAAATATAGTGAGAAGTTCATAATAAGCCTTGTGCTTGTTTCTGTTGTTTAGTCATATTTCTATTCTTTAAAGACTTAGTCTATTGCCATACATCAGTTTTTCTCTCAAGCATCACAAAATGTTGTATGATAGAGAGCTGTAGGTGCCTTAGCCTGTACAGAAAAACAACTCCTGGATTTTTTAATTATTATTATTCCTTCTTCATATATGTCTGTTCTCAGTCAAAAAGTAACAGAACCTTTCCTCTTGCTGTTTTATCATGGCAGGCCTTTGTTGAGAATTATCCACAGTTCAAAAAGATGTCTGGGACTGTATCAAAGCATGTGACAGTGGTTGGAGAACTGTCTCGGTTGGTCAGTGAGCGGAATCTGCTGGAGGTTTCAGAGGTTGAGCAAGAACTGGCCTGTCAAAATGACCATTCTAGTGCTCTTCAGGTCAGTCCAATTTGATGAGCACCCACTATGTGTAAGACACTGTGCCAGGCAGAGCAAGAGATGCAAAGGCAAGTACCTTCTTCATCAACGTGGAATTCCATTTATCAAGAAGTTAAGACAAGGACACAAATGAACACCATTAAGATATTAAGATAGATATTATAAGAGCTACAGAAGAAGTATAAAGTGCAGTCCCCAAGGTTCAGTCAGTTAATTGAGTATTTATGAGAGCAGCCTCATTAACTAGAAAGAGCAGTAGACTAGAATTAAGTTCTGGATATTAGTGTTTGGTTTACAACTTACTGGCTTTGTGACCTGGAGCTATTGACTTAATCTCTGAGCCAGTTTTCTCATTTGTGAAATGGATATAATAATACTTGTTTCACGGGGTTGTTAAGAAGACCTTGACAGATAAAATGAATTATCTAAGTTTTAAAAAAATTATTGAAGATTGCTTTTCATTCCATAACATGTGAATGCCTCTTATATGCACATACTGCTATGAGGATCTAGGAGTACAGAGATGAATAGATACCATCCCCTTCTTCAATATGCTCACATTATGGGAGGTAAGGAACTATAATACCATGCAGTAAGTGCTGTAATAGTGGTATTTCCAAAAGAGTTTGGAAATACAGAGGAAAGACAAGGGTGAGGCTTGTTAAAACTTCCTAGAGAAATGTGACATGAAAACGGGGTCTGGACAGCTAAATAACTAGGAGTGCACCAGGCCGAGCAAAGGGAGGAACATTCTCAGCAAAGAGTATGCAAACATGGAGGGGTGTATGTATGAATAGAGTGTAGTTCAGTGTAACTAGTGTAGGAATAGATGCTGAGGAGAGGTTTTAGATAAGCTAGAAAGATATATTAGGGTTAATTATGGCCATTGAAATGAGGTTGAGCTTTAATTTTAAAATGATGAGAGCTACCAGAGGATTTTAGAAGAACAGTGACATAATCATACCCTGACCTCAAGAAATTTATAGTCTATTATAAAACTAAATTTATAGTCTACTATAAAACTAAACTAAAGCCAAAGAAATAAATAATGTTTATTATTAAATTAGGCAAAACTAAAGCACAAGAAATAAATAATGTTTCAAGATAATATTTAATTAAGTTAAAATTATGATACTAACTATAATAGGATTTTAAGTTATTAGGAAGACTTTCTTAGTGAGGGCAATATGAAGATGAACCAAAAGAATGAATAGAATTTAGAGGAGGATTTCAGTCAGGAATAACAGCAAAAGAAAAGATGCATAAGTATGCAGGAAATAATACATAGCTTCACTTGTTGAGAGTGGGCGTGAAAGAGAAAGAGAAGATGAAGTTGGATTGATAAACAGGAATCAGTTTATAAAGAAGCTAGTAAGAGAAGTTTATATTTGCTGAGATAGGTGAGAGATCCAGTGCAGATCTTATGTAGAAAGTTGATGTTATGAAGGCAGTGTTTTAACCTAGTGAGGATGCATTAAGGTGAAAAAACTGAGAGGCTGTAGACTTATCGTGATATTAATGACAGTGTATAATAAGGGGAGATCTAAGAGACATTACAAAGGGAGAAAACCATTAAATGACAGATTGGATGTAAGGATTGAAAGAACAAATCAGACGTAATTCTAAGGTTCATGAGTTAAAAAAAAAAAATGTGTTGTCCCCAACAATTAATTTAGGAGTGAGTCCTTTGGGAGATAATAATTTCTAAGCCACCTGTAAGAAGCACATTTCCTCAATAATAGGATTTTATATGCTAAAACTTAGTTTTACTTTCCCCACTGCAATTCTACTTGATTTCATAAAATAAACCCAGTCTGGTATATCGGAAACATCACAGGCTTTGGAGCCAGGCTGTCCTGGCTGGTGTGTTATCTCTACTTGCCAAAGTTTTTTGGGAAAAATTTCTTACTTTGTCCAAGCATTAAAGATAGTGATTTCAAACTTTCAGATTGTTATAAAGAATCAGTGTGATAATAAAATGTTTCATATATGATAGGTGCTTTGTAAATATTATTTCCCTTCCTCTAAGCATAATATTTTTTGCATGGTATAATCAAAAGAAGGAAACCCACCTATGGGTACTCTGTGTTATATCAAGATCTTTATTGAGATTTTTAGTTTTTAGTTTTAAATTTTTAAAATGTTTATCAGGATTTCTCAGAAAACACCTTCATTTTGAAAATTACAAAGTTGCTATTTGCTTTATATTTTATTTTTATGTAAAGTGCTTCTCTATCATTGTTTTATTTTGTCCCCGTGTTTCTAAATCTTCACAAAGGACTCTGTTCTTTAGACTGACATTATTTTAATAGTGTATTAACTTTTAACTCTTAAATAGATGATATAAGTATTTGGTAAAAGAGGTGTATAGTGAAAACTGAGTCTGTTGTTTTATATGCATCCTTTCAGTTCTCCATGTATATGCAAGGCTTGGTGTGTGTGTGTGTGTGTGTGTGTATATATGTGTTTTAATTAAAATGTTACCATACTAGACACAGAATTCTGCATTTTTTTAAAAATATTTTTTTAGTTGTTGATAGACCTTTATTTTATTTGCTTACTTAAATGTGGTGCTGGGAATCGAACCTACTGCCTCACACATATGAGGCGAGCGCTCTACTGCTGAGCTACGACTATAGTGCCCTACAGTTGTTTTTTTTTTAACTTTGTATCTCAGAGACTGTTTCATATCAGAACCTAAAGTCTCCTTCATTTTAATCACTAAATAGTATCTTTTATAAAAATGTATTAAAATCTATTTTACCAGGGCTAGGGTTGTGGCTCAGTGGTAGAGCGCTCACTTCTCAAGTGTAAGGCACTGGGTCAGATCCTCAGCACCACATAAAAATAAAGTAAAGGTACTGTGTCTACCTACAAACAAAAAATATTTTTAAAAAAACCTGTTTAACTTTGCCAATTTATTTTAAACAACCCTACTAATAGTTTTTAGTTGTTTTATAGGCCTAACAGAAGTGTTCCTATCTTTATCTCAATAAAATGAGTTTTCTGCCTCTTATTAAATAAAAACAAAACTTTTTCCAATAACCAAATATAATTTTTCTTATGTTTATCACTTGATTTTTCCTTTTAAAAGGATAGAACCAAATTTAGCCAGGTGTAATGGTACATATCTGTAATCCTAGCACCTTGGAGGCTGAGTTAGGAGGATTGGAAGTTCCAGATCAGCCTGAGCATCTTAGGGAGACCAGTCTCAAGATAAAATTTTTAAAGGGCTGGAGGTGTAACTCAGAGGTAGAGCATGTCTGGGTTCAGTCCTCAGTGTGGAAAGGAAAAAAAATGTCAAAGCTTTATCACTAGCCAATTTCAGTGTCTTTATTTGTATCTCTCTATCATATGGAAAGCAGTTAGAAAAATTATTGTAATTCCTTCTTTGAAACTTTGTTCACTTTAAAAGTAGATATTTAAAAATGTGAACCTGATTTCTGATCTACTTTTTATTTCTAAAACTTATCTTTTGAAGACTTTCTTGTCCAGGATATTGGAGTTTTACGGTAAGCAGTGGATTCGGACTCTCCCACCATAAATGATTTCTTTGGCGACATGATTTAAATAGTCTATAAAGGGAACTTTTGTTTGATAGTAAGTAGATGCCAGGGGCCTGATCCCTAAATGGCTATAGCATTCCTTGGCTTGACCTTAGAGAATAATACGTCATGAAGCAATGAATTGAGGTTTTGAGTAGAGATGGGTTGTTTTATTGAGTAGTAAGTATATCATGGTTAGAAAAAGAAAAGCTCATACATTGCTAAAAATTAACCTATAAATTGCTGCCCCTTCTATCCTACAGGTTAACAAAAATATGATTTATAAAGAATTTTACCAGAACCAAAGTGCAATGTACTACTATTGAAGCACATCCATATTCTCAAAAAAAGAGATTGATTTGATTAGTAATGAAGATTTTTCATATCATTAAGAGAAACATCTGCAGAAAGTGAGCAATCCCCACCCTACTCCCACAGTCCCACCCATGTTGTCATATCACAACTTTTTATTTGAGAGGAGGAACTGGTCTGTTTTATATCCTTTTTTCCTGATCTTGCATGAAAGATCTCAAATCATACTGTTAATGACACATGGTAAAAACTCAATAAATATTTATTAGAAAAATGAGGAGAATGAATCCTTTTTGAAGCTATATAGAATGGTGGCTTAAAGCTTGGACTTTTGATGACTTGAGTTTGGAAATGATTCTTAACTACCCTAAGCCCCAGTCTTTATCTCTAAATGTGGGGAAATAACAGTACTTAATTCAAAGATTGTGGAGAGGATATAATGTGCTAATATATGTAAACACTTATTATGTACCAGGTACTTAAAATTTTCAACAAATATTGTCACATTAATCATAATATTATTTGATGGTACATTCTATTTTCATTCTGGGATTTAGAACATGTTTTTTTAATCCACAGGTGACTTTGGATCACTCCCCACTTTCAGAAAGGTTTTTCTGTAAAATTATAATAAAACTGCTTGGAACACATTGGACCATTTTATTTTAATCAATTAAGAGTAAAAATGACCCTTTTTTCTCTAAACCACCACTTAACCAGTATTTCAGAAATAATGTTGACCCTCAGGAGATCTACTAGAAAGCTAAATTTTATGTTAGCTAGTCATTAAGAAAAATAATACTGACTCACATGTATTTATCAGTCAGTAGTATTGGGTTCTGACTACTTTCTATTATTTTTCCTAAATAAGCTCTTTATTGTTCTACAACACTGCTAGATCAGACTCATTTTTATCAGATCAACATATTGAATACCTCTGCCAATTTTGTCTTCATATCCTAATCTATTATTATTATGATGATGATTGTTATTATAATACCAGGGATTGAACTCAGGGGCACTTGACCACTGAGCCACATCCCCAGCCCTATTTTGTATTTTATTTAGAGAGGGTCTCACTGAGTGCGCAGTGCCTCGTTTTTGCTAAGGCTAGCTTTGAACTTGTGATCCTCCTGCCTCATTCTCCCAAGCAGCTGGGATTACAGGTACACCACTGCACCTGGCCCTAATCTATTACTTTAATTACTTATTCATTAACTGTTTACTACATTATTGTGATGGTTGTTAGCAAGGAAGGAATCCTGTTCTTTAGGTTAAACTAAAGTGGCGAGGTGTGGGGGAAGGAGACTCTTTGATTACTGAGTACTCTGAAATTTGTATAATGTATGTATGTCATACAAAATTTTTTTCTTTTTCTGTGCTGATTCATCAGTTTTAATAGAAGAAAACAAAAAGCAGTCAGCTAGAAACAATGAAAGAATCTCTAAATATTAGAAAATAATTGTTTTCTCATTATGAGTGGATGTTAGTGCCTTTTGGAAACTTTCCCTCTAAAAGACAGTATTTTTGCTTTTCTTTTCCTGTTTCTTGTTTAGACCTACACAAAGTTTTTGAATCCTATCTTCTTAAATAGACACTAATTTTCTGTTTTGCTCTTTATTCATCTATTGTCATTATGAGGCAGTGACCTTTTCTCTCTTGGTAGTTTCAAGACTTGTAGAAATTTTATCTATCGGTAGTAGGAATTGAACTCAGGGGTCCTCTACTACTGACCTGCATCCCCAGGCCCTTTCATTTTTATTTTTGAGACAGGGTCTCCCTAAGTTGCCCAGGCTGGCCTCAACTTGCAATCCTCCTGCATCTGCCCTAACCACCCTAACCCCGTTTCCCCACCACTACTCAACACTGCACCCCAACCAATAGCTGGGATTATAGGCATGCACCACCACACATAGCAGCTTATGGAAATTTTATTGAGAAATTAGAAATTTTAAAATTTATTATAGAATTCAGTAATATTTCCAACATATAAATACTACCATATGGCACATACCAGGTCTGTAGTTAAAAGTCTCTCTAATTATTTTTCCTCCTCTTCTCTGGTTAGTACTCTGGAATCTCAATATAACATATGCCATTGTCAGTCAAGTTGATGAGTCAAGTAGCCATAGGGAGATAGTTTAAAATCAAAAGATAACATGGGATCAAGTCAGACAAAAAAAAAGCCCTGCTTTTTCAAGGACTGACATTGCTGAAAGAGAAGAAAGAACTCAACTTGTACCTACAGGTTTCTTCTCATGAGGAAATAGGTTAAGTCTAGCCAGATCGTGGATCTGAACCCTGAGTTGGGTTCTAAGAACTCAAAAGTAGGCAGACTAATCTACTCAAAGTAATCCTAGGTCAGATCTGGTCAAAGTCAGGGAATCTGCATACCAGTACCATATCTCAAGAAAATAGGAGTGGGGCTGGGGACGTGGCTCAAGCGGTAGGGCGCTCGCCTAGCATGCGTGTGGCCCGGGTTCAATCCTCAGCACCACATATAAACAAAGATGTTGTGTCCGCAGAAAACTGAAAAAAAAAAAATTTAAAAAAAAAAGAAAGAAAATAGGAGTGGATTCTTTTATATTTTTTAATCTGTTCTAATTAGTTATACAGGACAGTAGAATGCATTTTGATACATTGTGCACAAATGGAGGAGTGGATTCTTAAATGGGAAACAGAACCCAGAGTCAAGATCCAAGTGAAGGTAATTAGGAAGGAAGCAAGCAGGAAGGGTATTAACTGATTGCTGCAGATAGTCTTTAACTTTTTGATGCCAGTTATCTGGGTTTATAGTTACATGGGTATCTCATCTCAGATTTGTTTTAAAGTACAGAGACAGGTCAGCCAGAAATTGAGCAGATTATACATGAAAGAGTGCAAGGGCAGGAAATGAAACATTGTGCCTGTAAGAAAAGTGACAATAGCGATTCCAAGGTGGGATTTCTTAATGTTTTAAATTTATGCCCAGTTGATTAAAATATATGTGAAGTTGTACATAAATACTTGAAGAATAAACTGTACCCTGTCATATCTTTATATTATGATAGAAAATAGTAGAACACTTGAGCATGTATTTTAAATAAGTTATATTCCATGGTTGCTCTGTAGAAAACATACAACAAAGGGAGAAAAAATTAAATTTTCTTATGAATGTGGGTCTAAAGGAGAAATTTATTCCTTTTTTAGTCTCTTAAGGATGATGATAATGAAATATTAACCAGAAAAGCCACAACAGGAGTCCCTCTCAGAGAACTTTCTACTTGAGAGCTCCTGGGGAGGCTCCCATTATCATCCTCGTCGCTACTCGTTATGTACAGAGAGATTCTTAGACGTTGGACATGGCTGTTGTGGGACACCAAAGAATGATGTGTATGACAGCATCGTATACATTATAAAGTGCCACACAGACGGCGGTTGTCATGTCCTCAGAAGCCGGCGCCCTCCCAGTTGCTTGCCACTCTCGCGTTCTTTCCTCTGCTTTCACATTCCTGTTCGGGATGACACTGCTTTCATTCCTTTATACCAATTCCAACTGTTACTGATTCTTTTGCAGAGTCACCTCCGTTGTGAAGTCTTTCCTGTTTCCTCAACAATCAGATGTACTTTATTTTTGTCTTTTCTCCCCTCCCCATGGCACTGATTTTCAGCCTGTTTTCTATACATATATGTCTGTTATAACGCCACATATTTGTTCCTGAAAACTCTTATTTTCTACAAAATCATGCATTAAAAATAAACAGATTATGGGAAAATACGGTTATAAGCAGACCACTTAAAAATCTAAAAAAAAATATAGATCTATATAACTTTGTAATCAGAGCACTAATAAAAATATTGTCAATTCTAATAAAAATACTAACAAAGGAAATCTCCACTGGAATTTGCACATAGAAATTGAGCCAGTCCACATTCGCAGCCTTATTCCTGAGGTTCCTGTTTTCTTTAAGATCCAAGGTCTTGCTGGGTGCAGTGGCACATGCCTATAATCCCAGCAGCTCTGGAGGCTGAAGCAAGCAGGAGGATCGTGAGTTCAAAGCCAGCCTCAGCAAAAGTGAGGCACTTAGCAACTCAGTGAGACCCTCTCTATAAATAAAATGCAAAATAGGGCTGGGGAGTGGCTCAGTGGTGGAGTGCCCCTGAGTTCAATCCCCTGTAAACCTCCACCCCCACCACCAACAGATCCAAGGTCTTAAAGACATTTGCTTCTCATGGAGACTAATTTCATCAAAATTAAAAATACCATTTGAGGTAGCCTTCTTCATTCATCAATTTTTGCTCATCATTTTGGTTTTTTTTTTTATTTTTAACAGTGAAATGTCTTTGAATCCTTTTCATTCGCACTTGCTCCTTCTCCAGATAGTTTAACAGTGGAAAGTGCAGCAACTCCTAAAACCAGATCCTTCCTGTAGAAAATACTTTTGTAGCATTGTCATCTTTTTTTTTTTTTCTCTTAAAATTTTGATAAAGCTTCTTCTTTAATCATCAGGAAGCCTGTCCATGCTGGAAAAATTACATGTGACTCAACATGCCTTCTGATATCATACCATTTTTACTGTTCTCGTAAAGCTAAAGTACATTAACTGGACATGCTTTGTAACAGAATGGATTATACTCATTTCACCTCTCTTTACCTCATTGTCTGTGTACTCGCTGAGGACAGAAATTGGCTCTAACTCATCTGTGTTTCCCTAACAATGCCTGGCATAGTGCCTGATGGGACTTAAAAAGTTTGTTTTTGTTTTTGTTTTTTTTTTTTTTTTTTTTTGCTTAAATGGAATTATTTGTTCTGTATAATAAATATAAATCTGTACCATATGGAAGACCCTTAATGTGAAAATGGAAAAATCTAAACATGTTTTCTTTTGGCTCCTTTTGCTATCTGTAGCTGTACTTTAAGATCATAAATACTCAATTTAGAGATTGCATGCTTTACCATCTTGAGACATATTGTTACTTCTGATGTTTCTTGGGGATTAAGTTTAGTCCTATGTAAAATTCTATCAACTCGTCTCAGTATTTAATCAAAGCAAAGAGAAAGCAGTAGAGTTGCAAGTCAACTGCTCAATTCTGTGTGCTGTATTAACTAAAGTGGTGGAAAATAGTATCTGTTCTTATTTCAGCAAGGAAATGATAACTTGGGTTATTAGAAAACAGGAACAATCCAGTATTAAATTCATTTTTTCTAAAGCAATTATAATGGGAATATATTTCCTTATTTAATTCTTATCTTGAGCAAAAGGCAGTTAATTTTCTATAGTTGAGACCTGGGCATTGTCATCATAGCCATCTCATGAATTCAGATGTATCACTATCACTCAATAATTGTTAACTCTAAACCATCATACAAGAGATCACTCATGTGAAAGGGGATAAATATCAGTTCCTTCTTCCTTCAGAATGTAAAGAGACTCCTACAGAACCCCAAAGTGACAGAGTTTGATGCTGCTCGCCTGGTGATGCTCTATGCTCTACACTATGAGCGGCACAGCAGCAACAGCCTGCCAGGACTAATAGTGGACCTCAGGAATAAAGGTGTTTCTGAGAAGTATCGAAAGGTAACCGATTTTACATGTTGAGCCCAATAAGTAGGAACCGGTTCTGTCATATTCTTAGCACCAACCAATGATAAATCATACCATTTTTATTTATAGAACTGTATAATTCTGTCTTGTCATGTCTTCATTTCCTTAATAAAGGTATTTTTTATTAAATGGGCTTGCTGATCCCTAAGCAATAAAAGATAATTTCTATTTTTTTCTTTCTATAGCTCGTGTCAGCAGTTGTTGAATATGGTGGTAAACGGGTTAGAGGAAGTGACCTTTTTAGCCCCAAAGATGCTGTGGCTATTACCAAACAGTTCCTCAAAGGATTGAAGGTATAGACATCTCTTCTGTGCTGAGAAACAGTCAAAGCCCCTAAGGCAGAAAGTACATGAACATGATCTTCAAATTAACTTCAGGAGTGCTGCTGGTTTAGTACTAGATCAGTTAAATGAAATTACATCAACCATCTCTTGAAAGCTTTTTCTTTCAGTGCTTTCCTGTATTGGAGTAGTATCAGCACTGGCTCAAATAGCCAAGCAGGAAATAGCTGAAGATATTTCCAGGAAGTACTCAAGAATAAAAAGACAAACAATTCTGTTAGTTACAGCTATTTTTCATATTCATTTGTTTATAATCTGGGATTTAGATAGTTTCTCTTTGAAGGACATTAAAGAGAAAGCAAACATTTTTGATCTTTTAAAAATACTAACCAGGGGGCTGGGGATGTGGCTCAAGCGGTAGCACGCTCGCCTGGCATGCGTGCGGCCCGGGTTCGATCCTCAGCACCACATACAAAGATGTTGTGTCTGCCGAGAACTAAAATAAATAAATAAATATCTAAAAAAAAAAAAAATACTAACCAAATTTTTTTTAATGGTCAAAAATTAGTTTTAATTTGCTAGCCTTTCTCATGCTTCCTGAAGTTTCTTTCTTTTTTCTTCCATGTTTACAGTCTCCTTTTCTACAGTTCTTTCCTTTCATTTGCTTTACTTGTCATTTAACATTTTCACAACAAAATGAGCAAGACTCATTAAAGACATGATAAAAGATTTAAGCAACTCCAGTTTTAAAATTCTTTTATAATAGTTAGCATTAATTTTAGTATTTTTATGAGATTGGAACATTTCTGATTAAATTTTTGAGTAAAATATTTTTCTTTTTCTTTTTTTTTTTTTTGGTACCAGAGATAGAACCCAGGGACACTTAATCACTCAGCCACATCCCCAGCCTTTTTTATATTTTATTTAGACAGGGTAGCGATCAGTTGCTTAGGGCCTCGCTAAGTTGCTGAGGTTGGCTTTGAACTCACGATCCTCCTGCCTCAGCCTCCCAAGCCTGTGGGATTACAGGCATGTGCCAGTGCATCCAAAGAAATAAAATAATTTTTAAAATATCATAAAATTCCTATTTGAATTTATCCCAGGAAATATCTATTGAGTGTATGTCCTTTTCTAATGTGAGTATTATAAGCTGTTGTATTGCTAGTTTTCCCAAAATGACCTAAGAACCATTTTCCCCTGTTTTAGGGAGTAGAAAATGTATATACTCAGCATCAGCCTTTCCTACATGAGACCCTGGACCATCTCATCAAAGGAAAGCTTAAGGAAAACCTCTATCCTTATCTAGGCCCCAGCACACTCAGAGACAGGTAAGGTAACAAATATATTAATAATAAAAACCAGAAACACTCTGAGAATAGGACATTTAGAGTAATGATAGGAACAGACACCAAAATTATGTCATGTCCTCCTTCCTCTGCTTGAGTTCTAATATTCTTTTTGTTTTACATATGTGAATATTAGATATGAATTCCCCTGGTAAGCCTGAAACATTTATGTACTTGGGAATAAAGAGACAGGTGTTTTGGAGGGTCCCGATCCTTAATATTCTGTGTTTTAGTAGCAGACCAGTTTACTTATGCCATGTAAGGTTCAGTTCTATGGCATCTGGCATTTGGAGTTTCAAACATTAAGGCCAAAAATAGATCTGGGCTTGATTGCCATCCAGAGCAGGTTGTTACTATTTTTGGTGAGGACTGGACTTTGCCAAATGTGGCCAGCACACAACCTGAGAAACCTAATTAACAAAAGCCATGTGTTACAAAGGAGAAAGAGATAGGCTGTCTTTTAGTTGTAATTTCAATTCAGTAGGTAATAAATTTTAATAAATATAAAACATGTCCAGAACAATTTACTTATATCAGCCTGAAATTTTAAATATACACAAATTCTACTAGTTAAAAATACATTCCTATATTTGTTATTTGGACCACATGTTATGCAGGACCTACTATATATAGCTGAACTCTATCGGGCAGTTTAATGTGAAAATTTTCTATTAGTAGTATAATTCTTCTGTTATTTCAGCTACTAATAATCTAAGAGTCTTGGGCAGGGTAGTATTTTAAAAATGAATTTCTGAAAAGGGAAAATGTTTTGAGGTTCAGAGATGACTCTTTTATATGATGAAATATATTTCTTCACTCTGTCCCTTTAAAAAAAAATCTCTATAATTTGATACAAAACAGAAAAAAAATCATCTTTTTAAAATCCAAGGTTGAAAGGCAATGTTAAATTAAGAGAGTACATTCATTCAAATAAATGTTTAAGGTCCTTGGCATCAAGATTCAGAAATGTCAACTAAGGGGGAAGAATGAACACCAATCCAAGATATTTGTCTGAGAGGATTTTCAAAAAAATGTAACTCTATTGTTGAGACTTTTAATTAATTTGAATAAAGGAAAAATATTAATTTGCTTATGATATTTATATAAGAATTGCTGAAGAAGAAATCAGCTACTCATTGCTAGAGGGAAACCATAGGCTGGAAGAATATATTGTGTATGATTAGTGCACAACAACAAACCTTTCTAAGTTTCATGGTTCATGCCCAAACAAAGCTCAAAATAATGCTCTTCATCCAAAATACACATTTATCAATTGTTGGCATCTGTTAGCGTGTCACTGTAGTCTAAATATGTGTATAGTTAATAATTCAATCACTTCACTCTTTTATACAGATGCTTATTTAATGCCTTCAATATGTTAACTGTTTTAGATGCTAGGGATACAGAAGTGGCAGGAAAGAAAAGATACCTGCCCTCAAGGAACTAAAATGAAGGAGACAGAGTAAATAAGTAAAAAAACCTAAGTGCTATTAGGATGTAAATAGGATAATAAGCTGCAAAGTATCTGTGGAAGTGGGGAGAACTACTATAGATGGAGAGAGCCTCTCTGTGGAAGTGATACTTAAAATGAGTTTTGAATCACAAGAAAGCCAGTCACATAATGATTAGGAGAAAGAGCATCCCAAGCAGAGGCAACACCAGATCACAGTCTTTGAAGAAAGGGAGAGCTTGGTAGGTAGGTAAGCCAGAAGGAAGCCCTGTGTGGCTAGAGTAGAGTAAGGAAGGAGGAAATTGAAGAAGATAAATAGGAGCTGGATCACAGAGGGTCTTGTAGGCCCTGGTTAAAAAGTTTTTGTTTAATTTTTTATTTTAATATATTATAGGAAGCTGTTGAAGAACTTGAAACATGTAAGCAATGTGAACTGAATTATGATTTAAAAGTTCACTTTGTGGGCTGGGGATGTGGCTCAAGCGGTAGCGCGCTCGCCTGGCATGCGTGCGGCCCGGGTTCGGTCCTCAGCACCACATACAAACAAAGATTGTGTCCGCTGAAAACTAAAAAATAAATATTAAAAAAATTCTCTCGCTCTCTTAAAAAAAATTTTTTTAAAAAAGTTCACTTTGTGGAGCAAATGGATTCTTGAAGGCAAAAAATAGAAGGAGGAGATGTCTATAAAAGTCAGAAATCAAAGTGGGTTGGATAGGAGGCTGAGGAAGAAAATAGAATCCATAGATTTATTTAGTGGTATAGATTGATGGAACAAAGGTAAAAGAAGCCAAGAATAATGCTCAGTCTTGTTAATTGGAGATGCCTTTTAACCAAATAGAAATATCATGCTGAATTGAGAGTTAACAAGATATTAGTGATACCTAAGCCACAGGATTAGATAAGATTACTTAAGGAGAAAGCATAGAGAGAGAGGAGGTCAGTGGGGTCACACACTGTCTGGAGGAAAGGAGCCGGCAGTAGAGACTGAGGAGGAGCCAGAGTGGTAGAAGGGAGTCCAGGAGAACATGGTCAGAAAGGCATCGAGTGAGCAGGGAATGTAAGAAGGTGAAGGAAGTAAAGAACCTATCAAGGTGGCAATATAAAGAAGGTCTTTGATGTTCTTATTCCTACGTTTCAGTGAGGTTAGAAGCCAAATTAGGTTTACAGGATATAAAATAAAATGGAGACATTTATATGTAACACTTTTTAAGAAGTTTTGTATAAAGGAGACAGAGAAATAGGAGGGTATCTAAGAGATTGTGAGTTCAAAAGAGAGATTCCAGAGCATGTTTGTGATCTGTTGAGAGCTATCCAATACAGGAGGAGAAATAGATGATGAGGAAGAGCTGCAGAAGTAAAATCCTTAGGGTATCTAGAGCACAAAGGAATTGCCTTTGATAGTGGCAAAGGTACTTTCATTTTAACAGGAGAGAAAACAATGTGTATAGTTACACCAGGTTTGTAGTTCATTTTTTGTTTGTTTGGTATCAGGTATTGAACCCAAGGGCACTCAACCACTGAACCACATCCCCAGCCCTTTTTATGTTTTATTTTGAAACAGGTCTCACTAAGTTGCTTAGGGCTTTACTAAATTGCTGAGGCTGGCTTTGAACTTGTGATCCTCCTGCCTCAGCCTCCTGAGTTGTCAGGATTGTAGGCATGTGCCACCATACCCAGCCACTTAGGTTTATAGTTCTGATCATGAGAACATGGGCTCATTCTGTCTGATTTTCTCTGTAAAATATGATGGTCAGATTATCAGCTAAGGGAGGGGGTGAAAACAGAAAACATTGTGAAGTTGTCATCTTGCAGTCTAGGAATCAGACTTGTCAGGGGAATGTTAAGTAGACCTTCTGGGCAAGGTAGAGTGCCTATTAGTGGTCATTAATTTAAAATAGTGAGCCTGGTTGTGTGGTTTTATCCAGCAACTTTTAGATACTCTGGGTTAAATGTAAAGAAGGGAGATAGTTTGGTTTAGCCAGCATTTTGGAAAATGGAAACAGAAAGAAGGTACTGGATAGTGAAAAAAGTATCAGTGATGAAGTCACAGAGTTATTATATTAGAGCATTTTTGTAGTTGAGTTAAAAATTGAGAGGTGGTTATTAGACAAAGAGGTGTTAAATTGAAGATTCTTGTAATGAAGAGTTGTTTGTAATCAAGAATGTAGGTGATTGATTACAGGGGATGGAATAAAAAAATCAATGTGAGGGAGGAGACCCGGATGTGAGACGAGTAATCTACATTGATGTCAGAGTCACCGAATATCTTGAAAAGAGAAGGAATAAAAAGGAGGACAGTAAGCCAGAGCTAAATACTTTAGAGAGTAAGAGTGACCAGGAAAGGAGGTCAGGAGGAAACAGTGGGACTGAATCACAAGCTTCTAAAATTGGAGAGATTTTGGAGGAATACAGAGAAATGTTTATGAAACTGTAACTATCTACACCACCTCCTGGTTCTGCTTCATAGAAATAAGACTGCAGAAGACTTGAAGAGACTCCTTCCTGATAATTTCACTTCTAAAAGTTCACCCTACAAATATACTTGCACAGGTATACAAAAATATATTTACAAGATTGTTCACCAAAACATTATTTGTAATAGCAAAATCTAGGAATAAGTTAAATGCCCACTAATAAAGGACTGGTTATCTAAATTACAGTATATTACTATGCATTCTTGTTTTAAAATGGCATAACTCTTTGTGAGGTGATATGCAAAACATTTTTTTATTATATAGAAGGAAAGATGCTGTCATATCACTTTTAAAAATATGTGAGCATAAATGTGACTATATGTGTGTATAAAATAAGTATATACTTGAAAATAAATATGTATGCAATATGTATGTATAATACATATACAAACATATATGTATGCATACAGTAACCTTTTTTTGGTACCAGGGATTGAACCCAGGGGCACTTAACCTTATTCAGCCACATCCCCAGCTCTTTTTTTATATTTTATTTAGAGACAGGGTCTTGCTGATTTGCTCAGGGCCTCACTAAGTTGCTGAGGCTGGCTTTGAACTTGAAATCCTCTGCCTCAGCCTCCTGAGCTACTAGGATTACAAACTTGAACTACTGTTCCCTACAGTAACTATTTCTATTTTTTTTTTCTTTTTCCTTTTTTTTTTTTTAGTTGTTGTTGGACCTTTATTTTATTTATTTGTATGTGGTGCTGAGAATCGCACCCAGTGCCTCACACATGCTAGGCAAGTGCTCTACCACTGAACTACAGCCCCAGGCCCCCTACAGTAACTATTTCTAAAAGAATAAATAAGAAATTATTGGTAGTCCTTATCAATGGATATTGAGACAGTAGTTAATTGGAATATACATATCTATCCTTTCTATTAGCTATTATGTTAAGTATTATAATACTGAAATAAGAATTACATTTTATTAATCTTTGAGGTTTTCATAACAGTTAACATGATACTTTTCAAATAATAAGTATTCAATACTTGTTCAGTAAATCATGTAGACATGTATAGCAGTTGATTTGCCAAGATTTGTGTTTGGAAAATTT